CCCCACTGGAGTAATTGAAACAGAGGCTGACCGTCTGTCAGGGGTACTGGGGAAAAAATTCCTGCCTTCCATATCAGATTGGACTAGGAGGTCTCCAGGGTTTCTTCAGATTCTAGGATTACAGGATTCTGCAGTGGAGCTGATCCTTGGTCCTGGAAATGTGCAATTGACAACTTGGAGTATGGTCCCAGTGTCTTTTGGCCACAGAACAACTCTGCTTCTCTTGAAATTGAAATATTAAACCTTAATATTCATACTCAGAATTCGGCTGGTATTTTAAAACCAGAACAAGACTAACATCCTGTTGTGTCTAATGATACAGAGAAATGATTTCTTATTTTCTTCGTGGACCTACAGAACCTTTAAATGTGTAGATCTTTCAGCATAGGAGAAATAATCGATGCCTTCACACTTAAAATGACAGTGTCTCAGAGGTGGTCTAACATGAAACTGAGATTTTCTTCCTTTTCCTTCCTGTAAACACTGCTATTTGTGGTTTGTTGATATTTAACATGTTCTGTTTTGCTGCTTTATGAGGGTTTATAATTACTAAATAAAGGGAATGATCAGAAAGGGGATATTTTCAAGGACAAAATACATGGTAACTGTGTTTAGTTAAAGATCTAGATTATTTTTAAAGACCTGATCCTGCCATTTTATATATTATGTGAGGAGCTTCTGACAGTGAGCAAGGAATTATTTTTAATAGTAGAACACGAACTGCATATGAGAATATTAGCTCTAAATTTGACAGCTGAAGTTCTGAATTACTGTAGTTACGAATGACAAAAACATATGCATTTACAGTCTGGCTGTGGCAACAAGGAACTAGGAGAGCACACTCAATATACATAATAAGTATAAACATGAATTATAAGCGCAAAAATCCCACTGCTCAGCCAACCAAAAACGGTGCTTCTTGCATGGAGTCCTTTTAAATGGAACTTAGTGTAGTAAAACAAATAACAATTTATGCTGCAAATAATGCATTTATATCTTTTCATTTTGTAATTAATAAATGACAAATAAACAACAGTGTGATAACTCATAGTGACTTAAGACATCCAGTGCTTCTGTTCTTCTGGGCACATTCAGATTTGGCTGGGACCACCCTGAGATTCTCATACATGAGCTAAAGGCTTTCTTCACTCAGTGTGCATGTGTGACTTACCAGCAGTAGGAATGTCGTGAATACAGAGAAGAGGATAATTCTTCTTGACAAGAGCTTCTAATTTCTTCATCGACTATATCCTCGTGATGTCACAGATTGTGGGAATATAGGGTTATAGATTTTTATCTCTTCATTTCCTGTAAAAATTGTCCCATTGATGAATTCTGTTTAAAAATTATTTTAGAAGATGAACATGTCATTTTGTTAGATAAATGGAATTGATAGCATTGGAAGACACATATTGCTTTTCTTCCAAGAACACACAGAACTGAAAATGGGTCAGAAGAAAATGCATTTGACATTTAAGGTGAATTATTTCTGAAAAGACTGTTTACTTCATTTCCGTTGTAGAATATGACCAACAACATAAAAATATGCTAAGAAAATATGAAAAAAATAGAATCTTCATTTATTCATTCCCTCTTGAGGACCTAACCAATATAGATTATGCTGTGCTTCGTGCAGCATAATTAAAGATGAATAATATTTCTGCTTTTGAGCTCTTACTATATTGTGAGAGTTTGGATTTCTTTTGGGCATTTAACCTTTGGTTAATGGAAACTTTGATTTTTCTTAACTACTCTCCACCATACAAGATGCTTTTCTGGCCTTTTCCAGGGCAATTTTGTGACATTTTTCTTAACAGGCTTCAACACTCCCATATCCACCCTTTTCAGATAATGACTCATGATCATTGAACAATTAGCAGCCATTGCATGGGAACTCCCTTATCTTTCCACCACCAAACAATCTTTCTTGCATCTGGACCCTTTTAATTTCCTTCTGGTTAAAAAGCAAGAAGACATTGTGCCCCAGCGAAGACCAAATGACCTGTACTTCACATCTTATCTCCTCTACCTTCTTGAGAACTTTGTTTCTTCCTTGATCCCTCATTTCTTGTCTTCATTGTTTCCTCTCATCTGAGTCAAGCTTGCTCTCCTATTTTAAGAACTCCTTTGGCCTCACTTCTGCCTCCAGTTACTGCTCCACTTCACACTTAAGCTGCTCAAAGAACTGTGTCTACAACTTCTACATACTTACTCCTCAGATAGATGAGTTTGACACTCACCAGATCCACTGCAGTATTTTAACTGGCCTTTCTGGTTTCTCTTCTGTCCAATCTTTTTTATTGCCTATAAAGAAGCTAGAAGGATCTATTTTTTAAGAATTTGTTTTTAAATGAGATAACATTCACTTGTAATGAAATGTACAGATATTAAATGTACAATTTGGTATATTTTGACAAATACACACACACACACACACACACACACACACACACACACCCCATATAACCAAAACTCCAATCAAGATATAGAATATTTTGCCATTCCAGAAATTTCCTTTGTGCCCCTTTTAGGTAACCAAAACTCCAGTCAAGATATAGAATATTTCGCCATTCCAGAAATTTCCTTTGTGCCCCTTTTAGGATGATCTTTTAAAAATAGAAATCAAATTACCTTCTATATACAGTTTAAAAACATGCAAAAACAGCTTTATTATTTAGCTGAGCTTATATAAAGAGTAAAAGTGTAAAATAGTGCAAAGGAATGGTGAACACCAAAATCTGGAGCGAGGTTATTTTTGGTGCGATAGGTGGAGATTTAATCATGGAGTAGCACATAATGAATTGTACTGGTAATGTACTGTTTCTTACTCTTGGTGGTTTGATATAGTCTTGTTATTCTTTGTATAACTTTCTGTATATCTGAAACATTTTCTAACTTTGTTTTGGAAATACATATAGAAAAGTGTACTATACTATACTTCAGTGTTCACAAGTAAACAAATTGATATAATTTGCAACTAGATCGAGAAACTGAACATTGCTAACCTCCCAGAAGTCCCTACCTGCCCCTTCCCAGTTTCTGATACTCCCAAAGACAACCATCGTCTTGACTATTAGCATCATAAATTAGTTCTGCATGGTCAGAACCTCATATAAATAGAATAGTATATTACGTACTCTTAAATCTCAATATAATGTTTGTGTGATTCATTCATAGTTTTTACCCTGTAGATATTTTATTCAATCTTTTTTTTTGTTGAGTAGTATTCCATTTAATTTGTTTATCAGTTCACCTGTAGATAAACATTTGAATTGTTTCCAGTTTCAATATATTACGAATAGTGATTCTATCAACATTTATTTGTACAGGTTATTTGGGTGGACATATTTTCATTTCTTTTGGGTAAATAAAATACTGGATAATAAGGTACCTACTGCATTTTAATTTTATTTGTCCTCTCATACTGTTTGTGTTATCACTGTCATGCATTTTAATCGACGTATTTTAAAAACCTATTAGATATTATTTTTATTTTGTTATTTTAAACAATCAGCACTCATTCTTATTTACCCACATGTTTACCTTTTCCATTGCTCTTTATTTTTTCCTACCTTACCATGCTCTCACCTGGGATCATTTTCTTGTACGCACTTAGACTTTCATTAGCATTTTGTAAAAGTGAGTACTGGTGACAAATCTCAATTTTTACTTGTCTGAAAATGTCTTAATTTTACCATCATTATTGAATGATATTTTCTGAGTATGGAATTTTATATTTGAGGAGTTTTCAGCACTTTAAAAATGTTATTCCACTGTCTTCAGGCTTCTGTCACTTCTGTTGAAAAATTAGCCATTAACCAACATCATTATTGCTCCTTTGAAGATAATATGTCTTTTTTCCTCTGGTTGCTTTGAGGATTTTCTCTTTGTCTTCAGTTTTTATCAGTTTTCCTGTGAGGTTCCTAGGTCTGGCATTATTGATTATTTTTTGTAATTTTTTTTTGCTGTCAGTCCTCGATTTCTTAGTTATTTTTGATTTGTGTATTGATATCTCTCATCAGTTTACTATTATCTCTTTAAATACTTTTACTGTCCTATTCTTTCTCTCTTCTTCTGTCTTCAAACTTATATAATTTAGACCTTTTTATTCTTTCACACGTCTCTTACCCTTTTTTCTTTATTTTTTATTTTGAGTCTTTCTCTGTGCTTCAATTTTGAAGAAATTTTGACCTGCCTTCCAGTTTGTTAACCATCTCTTCTGATGTGTCTGTTGCTCAGCCTTATCTACTGAGTTCTTAATTTCACAATCCTAGAAATTTCATTTGTTTTTTTTTTAAATTTTTTTGCATTTGATCCTTTTTATTGATT